AATGGATTTTTTTTTTTCTAAAAGAAAAATAAATTAATTAATTAATAAATAAAAGGTAACGCTGGTCACGCCTATGACACATCCGGACTTGTCAACGTCGGCCGAATTATAGACAGAAACTGGGTGTTAAGAACATTTTCGCCAGGAGTTATTGACCAGATTTTTGGTCTATGACCTTTCATGAATACCGCCCCCAGAGTTGAACTGCTGTTATTACCACTATCAATAGCGCACGCGCGAGGGAGAGAGAGTGGGATAGGGAGGGAGTGAGGGAAGGCAAATCTCACGGTGCTGTATTTATTACAGTCAAAACCATCGGTGCTTTATTGATTATAGAGTTTTAAAAAAATGGTTCTGTATTAATTATAGAGTAAAGCAACACGGTGATGTATTGATTACAGTCAAAAACCACGGTGTTGAGTTCAGTAGAAAAAGTCAAAGCCCTGTATGAGGTATAGCAGGAGCCAGTGACTGAACAAAGGGGTAGGAAAATCCCCAGGTCTACTCTGCCATCCACTCAGCCCAGCGTAAACCATACCTAGGGCAAATCGGAAGTCACAGATTGGACTGCCTTTGTGGAGTCATGCCATGGCAACGGGAAATGGAAATCAAGGCAACAAAAACGCACTACATAAGAATCTTTAAGTTATAAGGACAGTTGCTGGGACACCAGATCAGAATCATCGAGCAATGGTTATAGCAAGAAAGAGCGATCTTTATAAATAACTTCGAAAGCACAGCACCACTGAAACTGCGAGTGATGATAGTGACAAGGTAACACAGCGGACCAAACGACAAAATCGCAAGTCTATTATGTATGTATATATATGTATATATATATATATTATATATATATATGTGTGTGTATGTATATGTATGTGTATATGTGTATGTGTATGTGTATAAATACATATACATTACATTATATATATGTAATGTGTATAAATATATATATACATTACATTTATATATATGTATGTATGTATATATATATATATATATATATATATATATATATATATATATATATGTAGACACACACACACACACACATATATATATTGTGTGTGTGTGTGTGTATGTATGTATGTATGGGCTAGCACCTTGTCATGGTGAGGAGGCTTATGTGTCTCAGTGACCCGGAGAGCTATGCCAGGGCTTAAGTCCATGGTAGGTCTAACCAAGCTGGATAGGTCAAAAGGTAGAGATCAGACAAAGATAGCTCAAAACATCCTAGGTATGGGAAAAATAGTAAAGGGTAGGCCAGACTCACATGTAACCCGACGTCCCCACCTACATCCATCTAAGGGCAAATGGTCATGCTGCCTTGCAGGTAGTCTTGGGAAAGGCAAAGGCCAAGGGAGTAAACCTTACGGAAAATCCGGAGTGGAGCCCCTCAGGCGGTTTGGTGTTGAACTCTATCATCAATCCGGCAGCTCCTGCAGTCCAGTTGTGGTTGAGACGTTATGCCCTGCATCCCTCTTGACTATAGCAGCTTGGATTGAGAGGGGGGTCGTGGTGCTTGTGCAACCCATGGCCTCCACACATCCCTCGCCCAGGATTTAGTGACTCCATTACCCTCTTTCTGTTTTTCCTAGTCCTGGGGCGATAGGCGTGTGGCGACGGTGGCAGGTGTAATATGACCCTAGGAGCTGTTAGTCACAGACCTGCACTCAGGCGACCAGGGGAGGATGGTCGTTCTCTACTCACCTGGGTAGTGTTCGGCAGCTACTCTGGTGACGGAGCAGCCCTCTTCAGGGACAGCACTGCTCCTTCCTCAGAGGGAAGGGTTTAGAAAAGGTGACCTAAAAAGGTTTGCTTCAAACTCCATCCTGTCAGCATACCGCAGCTGACTGGACATCTACAAATGTGATCGAAACAAATCACAAAGAACATCACTGGATGCAAAATCTACCTAAACAAAGCGCACTTTATGTGTTGGAGCCTGGAACATCAGGACTCTCCTGGACAACAAGAACAGCAACAGACCAGAGCGACGAACAGCACATGTTGGACTAGAACTTCAGCGAAGCAACATTGACATCGCTATTCTCAGTGAAACACGCCTAGCAGACACTGGCGAAATCACAGAGATAGGAGGTGGATACACCTTTTTCTGGTCAGGAAAAATTCCTGAGGAACGCAGAGAATCAGGAGTTGGCTTTGCCATATGTACCTCACTTGTAAAAAAAACTAGTCTCCCAAAGGGTATCAGTGATCTGATGACTATGAGACTGCCCCTCAAAGGAAAAAAGCACCTAACATCCATCAGTGCGTATGCCTCCACTGTGGTACACCTAAGTGCAAAGGCATTGTTCAACCTGGACCTTTCAACATTGCTACACACTGTTCCAAAGGGTGACAAGCTCCTGCTACTTGGGGACTTTAACGCTCTCGTGGGCAAAGACTTCATGTCATGGCAGAGGTCATTGAACCACATGGAGTGGAACAAGAGACCTCTAACGGCAGGTTGCTTCTTACGCTTTGTGCTGAGCATGGTTTGACCATCACCAACACCCTGTTCCAGCTACCACTCATCCACAAGGCCACCTGGATGCACCCTCATTCCAGACACTGGCACCTGATCGACTACTTGATTACTAGGCGCCGTGACATCAAAGATATACAAATTACAAGGGCAATGAGGACTGACCACCTGCTGTTGAGGAGCAGGCTCTCTTTTCCCATCGCCAGCAGGCAAAAACATAAAAAAGCTGACATGTCCAGAGACTCGCTGGCTCTGAAACCAAGGAATCCCTCGT